TAGTGATAGTAGTAGTTTGCCATTATTATTGTTGTTTTTTCAGCTTCACTACTTATAAATAGTTGAAAAACATTTGTAAGTGAAATCAAAGTCATGTGGTGTGAAGCAAAAGTCTGATATGACAATGGTACCAGTGTGTCAAGGTCAAAGTCTCTTAAAATGTCGGATAATTTGACTTTTTTATAACAAGGCAAGGTCAGATTGTAAAATGTCATGTAGTGCAACCTTCCAAAAACCTAATGATATTTATGAATTAAAGTTTTTTTTTTTTTTTTTTTTATATATATAATTGTCAAGATGTGTATACTCACATTTTAAATGTGGTAGGGAAATATGTTATTTTTTATTTGATAGTTACACCACATGGCATTTTTAGAGTCATTATTGTTGAAAAGTATTGTATAAAAGTGTTTCAAAACCATATTACACCAACATGAACTGAAAAAGTACACTTCTAAGAACTTAACACGTGTCTTAAACTAGATGTTTAAAAGATTTAATTAATATATTTATTTTTATCATGAACACTTGTCATTGACCCACCTAAAGTTTGAATTATTAAATCATTTTTTTAAAACAAAGAGGCTATTTGGACAGGTGCATCTCAATAAATTAGAATGTCGTGGAAAAGTTCATTTATTTCAGTAATTCAACTCAAATTGTGAAACTCGTGTATTAAATAAATTCAATGCACACAGACTGAAGTAGTTTAAGTCTTTGGTTCTTTTAATTGTGATGATTTTGGCTCACATTTAACAAAACACCACCAATTCACTATCTCAACACATTCTAATTTATTGAGATGCACCTGTAGTTTCAGTTGCTGTACATTCTGACCTTTCTTATTAACTTTCAGAGTCTACATGTAAGAACATGCCTGATAACTCCTCTGAGGCTGCATCCAGTCACTTTACTTACTACTTTCAGCCCTCTCTGGACAGCCAGGACTCCATCATCACTTCTGCCCACTTCTGGTTCTATGCTGGAGAGGCCATTGTTTCTAGCAACATCTCGGCACCTCTTTTTATCCTCACCCCTTACCAGGAGCTGCTCCAAGCATCCGTAAGTCCAGTCAAACGCTGCACCGATGGCTGGACCACCTATAAGTTAGATCTCCATCTCCACATTACCATGGCTGTTGGCCCTTTCATGCTGCAGGTCCGTTGCCCATCCTGCAGTTGCTATGATTCAGAGGATAAAACACCCTTTCTGCACCTCCACACCCGTTCAAGTGGTCCCGACCGCTCACGCAGGGCACCCAAAATCCCTTGGTCACCGTCTGCTATCGAAAAGCTCATGAGACCTGCTTCTGATGACACAGATTGCAAAAGAGAACAGATAGAAATCTCCTTCGAGGACCTCGGCTGGGACAACTGGATTGTTTATCCTAAAGCCTTCACTTTCTACTACTGCCATGGCAACTGCTCCAGTGCTGAGCGCACTACTACCCTACTTGGAATCAACCAGTGCTGCGCTCCTGCTCCAGAGAGCATGAAGTCACTCCGTTTCACCACCACCTCAGATGGGGGACATTCATTCAAGTATGAGACCCTGCCTAACATCATACCAGAAGAGTGCAACTGCATCTAACACTCTGCTGTCGCTTAGATTTAAGATTATCTGTAAAGTGTGGGAATGTTGTTGTTATTTTTTTTTTCAAACACAAATCAGCTATTTTAAATGAATGATCAAAGCAAATAATGTGTGCATTAAAATAGTGTGATAGATAACTTCTCTACTTGTGACTTTAACTTTAGCAATGCTAACCTTCAGCAATATAACAATTTTGTTAATACACAATCACTAGTTTTCCTAAGTAAAACCTTGCTCAGTAAAGTTCACACACATATATCGCATCAAATGAGGATTGTTTTTCATATTTGCATATCTATTTCGTTGTACTAAATTAAACAGCCATTTCCAGAAAAGCATCTTAACCTTGTACACTAAGCTCTTTGAAAAACTATTCTAAAATACTTTAAAAATTGCACAACACCCAGATATCTATGAAAATAAATCATAAATGTTTGAAAAAGAGACAAGTCATTATTATATAATCTTTTATCCACTTTTACCCTAATAACAATTGTTCACTTCTGCAGAAGTAAAAAAAAAAATAGTAATAATTTCTCTTAAAAAGCACTATATAAACACTACATATTTTTGTTTTTAATCTAGGCCATCATTCAAATGTTGATGATTAATAATGAATCTCAAAATTATGTTCAGAGGAATACATACAGTGTAATGTGTTAAATGCTGTTGATTATTTAGCAGATACTTTAAAACAAGCTACAAACTACATGAATAGTTCCAAAAAGCATTTTTGGTTTGCTCAGAGGCACAGTGAAAAGGAATATCTGTACTACAATTTAAATACAGGACCTTTGGCTTGCCAGGCCAGATTTTTAGCAGTTGTACCATCACACTCTTATAAGACTATACCATACTGATTAAATTAAAAAGGTCAAATGCTGAAGGTAAGAAACAAATGACACATTTTTAAAGGGGCATTCAACAATGTTGTATGTCACTGATATAACCATGGATTTGGATTTTTATGTCTAATATCAACATGGCAGCCACTGGTAGAGGCATTCATTAAATACAGGTATTAACAGGTATTCCTATAGGCCACTGGCACAACTGGAGTCATTTACATAACATTTATTCATTTAGCAGATGTTTGTATGTAAAGTGACATACAAATGAGGGAAAACAAAAATCATTTATCAAACAATAATAATGAGCCCTCATCTCATATGAGTCTACATTTCAAACACATTTTTCAAAGTACTACTCATTTCATAAGATGTGCCAAAGATGTATACTTTACCAAAGACACAAATAGTGTGCGCCTATATAATGTCATTGCAAAATCTGAATTCCAGTTTCCCATAAATCCAATGTAAACCACAGATATGTTCTGTACTAAAAGTAATGCAGTAGCATGTTGCATACATTATTTTAATTTTATTTGTGTATTCATTCATTATTATTTTACAGTAATACGGGACATGAAACCTTTTAATAAACAATTCAAGCAATTTCCAGGTTCTTTGTTTTTTTTTTCAAAATCTGGTCAGATGCGTTGCAATAATAATTTAATTCAAAAGTTCTACATGCAAAATCCTCAAAATGCATATCAACAAGAAAAAAGAACACCTTTATTGCTTCTAATTGAAAGGGTTTCTCTCAACCTACGATATTTACATATAGGACAATGTTCCAAAAATATTAGACCACACAGGAAGACTGTACTCCAATCAAAAACCAACATAACATAAAACACAAGCACTTCTGTTTTTCGGACGAAGACACATCTTTCATTTCATTATAATAATCTGAACTCGATGGTCTGTGAATTTTGGCTAAATGCTTCAATTAATACTGATTTGCTAAAACTGATAATAATGAACAATACTTATAAATATCTCCAACAACACAGGGAATGTGTCTTTGTTGTCATGCTGTTCTTTCAATATGAGCAAATATAATTTCTTTATAAAGAAAGGTACAGTAGTGTGGATTTTAAGAGCTGGTGTTTCTCTAGTCTTTAAATTTGGCAGCTATGGTTTTAATACTCGAAGTAACACTTCTTCTGATATGCATTTAGAGGAGCACACAAAATCTTGTCAATAATTGCTTTCCATTATTTGTTTCTGAGCTTTGAGTTTATCCATTCAATGCCAGATGAACAGGAAAAACACACAAAATCTTGTCAACAACTGCCCACCAAAATTTGCATCTCAGCCTGGAGTTGGTTTGTTTGATGGAAAGGCATTAGTCTCTTCAAGCATGACCCTCTTTAAAAACAGAAAAGGAAAACATATATTATTAAATATCCATCAAATATCAAAAAAAACAAATGTGCACAAAAATCACATTAAAACATGGCAATTTATACAGAGATGCACTTCAGATCGGACTGGAATTAATGATTTATATCTTATGAACAGAGTTTAAATGTAACTTATTCATCAGCCAGTTTGGCTACTACATTTTTAAACTTCTATCCATAACAAAAAATCATGCCCCAATAGATCATGTATGCCAGCACATGATTTCATGATAATACAATTCCCATGAATTTTGCATCAGTATATTTACAGCAAATGTTTCTCACTGAAAGCTATAAGTTTGCCTGCAGTATTGCAATAAAGATGCCAGAGGGTGCTTTTGGTGTCTGCATGACAACACACAAAAGTCTTGGATATGCAGCATTTATTGGATGCCTAGTGAGTGAGAACACGCTGAAAAAGTGGTCTCTGGTCTCTTCCTGAGTGTACCGGAGTGTTATGCCTTATTTTGCTACTTCTAGCAATAATAATAATGATGATGATATGCAAAGTGATAAGCTAAATGTGCGGTCACATTAACAATCAATTTTTCAGCGAATTTAAAAAAAAAATTCAAACGAAGCCACTTTCTGTTCATCCGTTTTTTTTTAATCATAAATCTAACTTGAACGCAAGTGAAATCTACGTAGGGAAATTTTTCACCCTGACGAGAAACTCCCAAATGCGTGGATTCCTGTTGAAATTACTAGATTTCGCCCACAATTTTTTGCCGAGCAATGGTAAATGTGACCACACTTTTCCTTAATGAGCTCATAGTGTTACCCGCCATGTTGATTTCCACCTGCATTTAGTGGGTTGGCGGGTGTTAATTTCAAATCGTACTTATACAAATGTGATGTGAAAGAAGTGTAGCCCAAAACAAACCTTTTTCCTTAGAGCTGACATAGCCCTCCTGAGCTAGGTTGAGTCGGTTTTGCTCAACGGCAGCGCTGTTAGAGTCTGGACCGCTGCTATGTGAAGCCCCCACATCCTCAGAGTGGTAGGCCTGTTCCAGATGTCGCTGTGCCATTTTCAGGTGTCTCCGTAGACGCTCTAGATCACGACCAGTGTTGTCATCACCCAATGACTCCCGTCCCGACTCTCCCAGGACCTCAGCCTTAAGCTTGCTAGTGGAGTCCTTTTTCAGGACAGCCTGATATCCCGGGGGTGCACTAGCAAGGCGGTGACAGATAGTGGATGTGGATGACCTGTGTATGGGAAGCCTCCGAGCCGATCGACTACGGAGAGTGTCCCTCACACCACCAATTGCCAGATGAAGGATTTCCAGCACAGTCAGCACCAGGCAGAGTATACTGACAACATACATGAGGACCAGGAAGATGGTCTTTTCAGTGGGACGTGAGACAAAGCAGTCCACGGTGTGTGGGCATGGGCTTCGGGTGCAAATGTAGGATGGCGCAACTTCAAAACCATACAAAACATACTGGCCAAAAAGGAAGGCCATCTCAAACGCAACACGAGAGATCAACTGTAGCACATACACCTTCAAAAGACCATCTTTCTTGATTCGACGACGGCCGTCATGCTTCGTAGACGTAGCATTGGATGCAGGGGCAGACTTGGCTGCAGCTACCGCTTTACTATCCTTTTCAGAGGGCACAGTCTCCTCCAAGATCATGGGAACTTCATCAGCCTCGTCATAGCCACGACTCAGTCCTCGATGAACCATAGAAAGTTTGTGCTTACGTGGTCGGTATTCGTCATCAGCCATTCGAGCAATTTTGTGCATGGCAAAGCCGAGGTATATAATGGACGGTGTGGTGATCATAATGATTTGAAAGACCCAGAATCGGATGTGTGATAGAGGGGCAAATGCATCATAGCATACATTATTACAACCGGGTTGTGCAGTATTGCATACGAACTTGTCCTGTTCATCTTGATAGATTTTCTCACCGCCCACCACTGTCAGAACAATTCGGAAGATAATGAGGAGTGTGAGCCAGATCTTTCCCACAAAAGTGGAATGGTTGGAGATCTCATCAAGCAATCTAGTCAAGAAGTTCCAACTCATGGTACCAAAACAAGAAACCTGATCTGCAGAAGAAAAAATAAATAAATAAGTAGTGGGATCATAGAGGCATTGCATATGCCACACACAACTTCACAATTAAAAAGGTTAAAGTGTTCTCCTTTTTGAAAATGTATGCAGTAACCAGTGCATGTAATTAATTGCATATGTTTAACGCTGTAACAACGTATATTATTATTTGACATTGTACTTCATTCTTTTCTGTGATGATGAAAGTCACCAGCAGGTGTCAGTGTTCATAAACACACACACACTTGATACGCCCACAAACATCCTTTACAGGCTATAACTTCTGTTTATCAGCATATAATGGTGAACCCTCTTTATGGAAATCATGTTCAGCCCAAAGCATTTGCAATGAATTTCGAGGGGGGATGGTTTCAGTTCCAATTTCTGTTTTTTTTTGGAAATGAAAGTGATTTATAGGCTTTTTATTCATTTAATAGCCTACGAAAGCGATCCCAATTTTGCACATAAACGTAGCGCAGTATATAATAGAAATGTAGCGTGACATTTGTGTCTATGGTTAGCTGCGCAATCTTGTTTTTTTTTTTTGTGATTAGGGAAGGCATCTGTAAAGGCTTTTCAATCGCCCATTTGGCCAAATAGTTAAAGGGGTCATATGATGCGATTTCAAGTTTTCCTTTCTCTTTGGAGTGTTACAAGCTCTTGGTGCATAAATAAGATCTGTAAAGTTGCAAAGACTAAAGTCTCAAATCCAAAGAGATATTCTTTATAAAAGTTAAGAGTCAGCCACGCCTACTTAAAACGGCTCGTTCTAACACGCCCCCACATACCTACGTCACTATCTGGGAAGATTTCCATAACGCCGCCCAAATGTTCACGCAAAGAAAGAAGGCGTAACTTTTATTCTCGCTGTAGTATTGTTGTTGCCGCCGCTGCCATGTCATGAAGGCACTGTGTGATTCGTTGTGAAAGCGAAACTACTTTGTTTGGTCTTCCAAAAGAGGACGATATCTGCTTCGTCATGCCTGGAGCTGAGCCGTGCTGGTTGCTGAGGAAATACTGCAACATTGCGCTGTGGATCACCGGATCGTGTAAAAAGACAGTATAAGTCATTATAATCCATAATTATGTCCCCACTGGATGCAACGGATGCCTCGTTTATAATGGGTTTTCATGTTTTTGAATCATCGCTCCGGTCTGCCAGGGCAACATCACAATATGGTAAGGGGCGTAACATTTCCATCACACGCTTGAGGTATTCGGCCAATCACAATGCACTGGATAGCTGGCCAATCACAGCACACCTCGCTTTTTCAGACCGATGAGCTTTGTAAAAATCGAAGCGTTTCAGAAAGGCGGGGCATAGAGGAGAACCAATAATGTACAATATGTGGAAAATAATGTGTTTTTTAACCTTAAACCGCATAAACACATTTCATTACACCAAATACACAAAATACTGTTCTTTTTAGCAACATCATATGACCCCTTTTGGGATTACTATTTTAGTCAAATTAATTACATTCAATTAACTAATTTGATATAAGGACTTTTTATGTGATATTTTATTTTATCACAATTATTTGTTTTAAAACAATAACTAAAACATGAGAAAATTATTCATTTCGTGTTTGTTACGTCCTTTAATGGAAATGTACTGAGTAGCTGCATGCCAACATCAGCAACCTCACCTGTGAGCTGGAGCTCATTTTATTTTATCACAATTATTTGTTTTAAACTCATTAACGTAATGCTTTGTTCATATTGTCATCAGATGCGCCCATGTTTTTATACACAAAATGGGATAAAACTGGTGCCAAAAAGTGAGTTTAAAAATAAAAAAATATATAAAATGTGAATGTTTAAAAAAAAAATAAATAAATAAATAAAAGTAATAATAATATTATTAGGACAATAACTCAAACATGAGAAAATTATTCATTTCGTGTTTGTTACGTCCTTTAATGGAAATGTACTGAGTAGCTGCATGCCAACATCAGCAACCTCACCTGTGAGCTGGAGTTTCAAAGAGAAGGACAAGTCACAGCAGGTCACTACCTGACATGAACCAAGACTGAGGTTCTGTGGTTAAGAGAACGCTAGAAGAACGTGTTGTGAAAAGTCATGGGTGTACTCAGACAATTCACATTTTATCTCCACTATTGGTATAGTGACGTGTTAGCATACCAATTCCCTATGCTGACAAGTTCCGCTTGTGGTACAGATAGGCCACAGAAGACAACTGCTTGTGGAAACACCACAGTACCTACATTGCCACAGTACTTTCTGAATTGACTGTCCCTCATCATTCTACATAATAAATAAATAAGACATTATACACAATGCAAATTTCAGAAAAGACCATCATAACATCCCCAAAATTCAAGCCGAGTGGAATGATTGTTGATTGGTGTCTGACTATTCAAACTTCAGGTAAAAGCTGAGTTATGTCTTTTTTAACAAAACCTTTAGGGTAGCTAATGAATAACTAAAAACACATCACAATAATAATAATAATAATAAATACACATACACATATATATATATACACATACACATAT